AAAAAAAAAAAAATTTTTTTTTTTAAGTTTTTAGCTGGACATTGTGGTGCGTGCCTGTAATCGCAGCTTCGGGCGGCTGAGGCAGAATTGCTTGAACCCGGGAGGCAGAGGTTGTAGTGAGCTGAGATTGTGCCACTGCACACCAGCCTGGGTGACAGAGCTACACTCTCTGTCAAAAAAAAAAAAAAAAAAAAATTAAAGTTTTATAAAATCCAAACTTACATAAAAACAAAAGCCTCAGGCTGGGTGCGGTGGCTCATGCCTGTAATCCCAGAACTTTAGGAGGCTGAGGTGGGAGGATCACCTGAGGTCAGGGGTTCAACACCAGCCTGGCCATGGTGACACCTCGTCTCTACCAAAAATGTAAAATTAGCCAGATGTGGTGGTGTGCACCTGTAATCCCACCTGCTCAGGAGGCTGAAGCAGGGGAATGGCTTGAAACCAGGAGGCGGAGGTTGCTGTGAGCCGAGATTGCGCCACTGCACTCCAGCCTGGGGGACAGAGCAAAACTCCGTCTCCAAACAAACAAAACAAAACAATAGCCTCTGAGGAACGGGAGCTGCTGGACTGGAGTCGAGCTTTTCTGGTTCTGAGGGTCAAGTGCACCATCACAACCCACAGCTGTCACAGCTGTCTGTCTCTTGACACTGTCTCCATGGGGGCTGCTTCCCCCATGCAATAACAGGGCTGAGCAGGGGCTCTGGGCGGCCCTGGGTGTCTCATGCAACAGTCATGAAGGACAGACCCTGGGGCCCATGACCCTGGGTATCCCCTACCTTGCAGGGCCTGGGGTTCTCCCCAGTGTCAAGTGGTGGTGAATGCAGATGCAAGGGCTTCACCTGGAGTTCAGGAGGAGAAGGAAACATATTTTAATGAGGAAGGTGAGCCCCCTTTAAGTGATCAGGCTCAGAGGCACTGGAATGAGACCCCACTCCCCCTCCCGCCTTGGGAAATCATCCGAAGGTTGCTGTGCGGGCTCTAGACTGGCACCGAGAGCCATGCATATATCTAGCAATGACACATGCCAGACACCACAACTTGTGGCCTCTAGTTCAACAATGTAGAGCCAATCACGAATCAAGCGTTTCTGTCAACCAATGAGAACGCCTGAAAACAACTTGAGTAACGGCCCCTTTCCTGATCCGTCCTGTTCCCTTTAAATGCAGGAGCCTCTCTCTTTCTCCCCACAGCATTTCCCAGGCTGCAGCTCTCAAACTGGGCCCAAATAAGCTCTCTCCCCATGTTTAATTTTTGAGCCAGGGTCTTGCTCTGTCGCCTGGGCTGGCGCGCAGTGGTGAGATCTCAGCTTACTGCTGTCTCAGTCTCCTGGGCTCAAGTGATCCTCCACCTCAGTCACCTGAGTAGCTGAGATTACGAACATGACCCACGGCGCCTGGCCTCTCCATAATCTGTCTCAGTTTCTTCTTTTAGGATGACAATACCATAACTCCACACTGTCCCCCGGGGGTGTTCCTATGGCGTGGCATGGCGCTGCAGGCATGTCCCCAGACCTTTACATCTGTTCATCACTGCCTGTGACACTGCCCGTCTAGAAGGCATTTCCACCATGTAACGTGGTGGTGGGGGCTGGGATCCCAGGCCACACTGCTTGGGTTGAAACCTGGCTCCACTCAGTATTCGTGTGACCTTGGGCAAGTGACTTCGCCTTTGTGTGCCTCAGTTTCCTTATTTGTGAATGAGGATAAGAGTGGTAAATTATTTGGTGGGTTGTGAGAACTAAGTAAATTATTAACCCAGGGGCATGAGGCATCCACCACGGCCCTGGCATGAAGGCAGTGGTAAGAAATACGAGTTCTCCTTGTCATTACTGCTGATGGGTGACGCCAGCCCTCAGGGAAGGAGACGTGAAGCCAGTGCAGTGTTGCCTTTATGCTTCCTGCCACCCCAAAATAGCAGCAGCGTGCAGCTGGGCTGAAACGGCAGCACGCCTCTACTTGGTGCGTCCTCTCAAGAGCTCTTGAGCTGTAGGGAGTTACTCAGCACCAGGTTTCCTCCAGCTTCAAGAGGGGGATAAGGAAGGCAGTGGGCAAACATCTAGACTGCGCAAACAGCGATCTGAGTAGTGGCGCAGGATGTGACGTCTTCTGGCCGGTGTGCCTGCTTTTAGGTGCAAGTGGGGCGTGTGTGATTCTTCAAAATAGCCAGCAAGGTTACCAGACCCTTGGGCCAAAGACTACACTCTGCCTGGGTCTCAGCCTCATCCACGTGCCCCAGCTGCAGAGAGTGGCAGCATCTGCATCTGTCATGTGAAGGGAGCACAGACACCACTGGGTGGAGAAGGAAGCCCAGGGACACAGCTTGCCCTCCCACGCCTACCGGCGTGCTGACCACACGCAGCCACGGAGAGGTGAAGTTACAGCCACAGCACGAGGAGATCAGTCCTTCACCCCGTTTCCACGGGCTTCTCACAAGAGTGTCAGTGAGAATGGTGATCTCTCTGTGGAGGAGCAGGCAGGTGAACTAGGATTCCAAATGCACACTCTCAGCAATTCCTCATTTTCAAGACTTTCATTTCTATAAACTGTATTGATTCACCTTTTCCTACTCAAAAAAGCCTCAAAACCAAAACCAAACCAAGGGGTGGTTTATAAAAAGTCACTCTGCCTTTTCCACTAAATAAGTAAAAAATCAGCAGATAGACTTAGCTTTGAACAGCTGTGGCTAGCAACAGGCCCAGCCAGCGCTCCAAGGCGGGCTGGTCAGAGATCAGTGGCCGTCAGCTTCTGTGTGTGTGGGCGGCCCTGACCTAACAGGAACCTGGTAATATCAGAGCCAGCTTGCCCAACGCCATGGCTAAATTTAGTTTCATGATGAGCAATAAAATTCACATGTTCTTTATTTAGTCCATATGATACACTGTGTTTTAGAGTTTTTGAAAATTAGATAAAAGAGCATATTAAATGGCAAGTGTTTGAAGTTTCTCTTCATAAACAATGTCAAAACAAAAAGTTTTGAATTACAAAATGTTAAAAAATATGTAGGTACTTAAACATTTCACTAAAGCATAAAGTTACAGATATTTTCTAAAGAAAAATAATTGTGCCACTTACCTATATTTGCTGTTTCTATGAACTTTTTTTATTCTGTACATAGGACATTTTGTACAAAATATGAAGTCTACATTTTTATTACTTATTACCATAGAACAAAGATACAATGTATGTACAATATTAAAAGGAAGTCATACTAAAGCCACACTAAAAAGACACTTGGAATAGTGACATTTCTGATGTACAGATACATTTTGGAAAGAGTGAAGATGCCAAACGCAGAACTTTATGAAGAAAAACAGTCACCGGTTTATTTTCGATGCAGTACTTTGAAGTCAGTTTGGTACAGAATAAACAGTCTCTATACAATGATACGTAAGCGGAACGATGAGCACAGGAGTCCGAGTACTAGTGAGGGAAACTTTAGGAGGCCAAAATGTGAAGTAATACTCTTGCCAAAGAAAATTAGTTTCTCTCAAAACTTTGATTTTTCTTTTTGGTGAGTGTTTGTCTTCAATAAAGAGCAGAAATAAAACCTAGACAAAAAGATGTTCTTACACATTGAGCTTTACACAGTCACCCAAACATTGATATTTTGCTTTTTCCCTAGGGCAAAAAGAGCGTCTTCCCAGAAACCTCTCTCACAAACATACTGAACATCCAAAATCAAGGATATTTGAGAATCTATCAGCTAAAGACGGAAGTTCAAACAATGGTATATCAAAATACATAAGACGCTGCTTTATACAATAAAAAAGCACCCTTTTTCCCTCAAAAGGAGAAGGCATCTAAACTGTTTTTTATTTTTTAAATTATAGATTTCATAATGGTAAAATGGAGAGATACTTGTCAAGTTTCTCAGGAAGTGTTCATCTCACAAAGCGGACTTGTCCACTTTTAGCTGGGGCAATCTTTGCATTTCATACCTGCGCTTGCTCTTGACACGAGAAGTCCCCTCCCCCCAGGTGATTTTCCTCCAAGACACGAGGACAGAAGCATTGCCAGTGGCTTTAAAGACAGCAGCGGGCAGTAGCACTGCAGCAGTGTCTGCTGCTCACCATCCTTTAAAGGATACCCGAGACCTCGATGAAAAAACAGATCCTAAAAGAAGCCACGTTTTGTCTTTTATGCATCAAGACACTTAACATTAAGTTATATAATCTTATGCCAGAGATAAAAGAAACTAGAATCACGTGTTTAGAATAGCAGTACACATCTCAAGTAGCTTTCAAGCAGGATAAGTAAGTCAAAATACTGGCCACCCTGAGAGAAAGAAAGAGTAGACGAAGTGCTAAGCTGAAAGATTTTTCTCCTTGTGCTGTTCCATCTAAGCTCAGTACATGCAAGGAAGCCTGTGGAATACATAGCAGCATTTGAAGACCGACGAGAACTCAGACACTGTGTTTTCCTGACAAGGTGTTGATAATGTGTGCTCTTCTCAACAGAAAGAGCCCCATGGAGCCCCATCCTCGCTGGCGCCCCCTCCCAGCGCTCAGGACCGCATCGCAGCCTTAAGTGACGGCCGTGGCAGTGCCAGCGGGCAACGCGGCTTGCTTACTTTCCGCTCAAAGGCAGCTGCAGCCTGCATTACGCTAAGAACTGGCTTCACTCAAAATGATTTGTTCTAACTTTCCATAAAATGTGGAATTCTTAGAGACTAGAATTTTATCAATTCAAGAGCCTGTTTGAAGGGCAACAATGTTTAAGTTGAATGGAAACGAAATCTGCAAATAAAAATGTGAACACGTAATTTTTAAACTCCAATTTCTGTCGAGATAGGCAGAGCAAGCTCTTTTAAGATAAATTTCAGAGCAATCTCTTTTAAAATAAATTTCTTCTACAAGCTTACTCCTGGAATCCTGGAGCAGCACAGACTTGGAAATATGGCTTTAGGTACACACAAGAGGAGGAGACATGGTCTTCATGTCACTCATCAGAGTAAAGAGATCCCTTAGAAAAGACCAGCGCCTGAGGATTGTCATTTTCCCAGTATGTCGTGTGAGAACTCGAAAGCAAAGAGCCATGTCACTGAGACTGAAAAACGAACGCACGAGAGCTGCTGGCGTAGCAATCATGTGGAAACCATTCCAAAGGCTGTAAAGTCTTAAAAAATAGGCCACACTTGTTAAAGCGTTCCTTTGATTTGAAAAACATTGATGTTATCACAGAACCTCCTATGTTAAAAGATCCTAAGTTCCATTTGGGAGAACGTGAGGATGACGGGCAGGGTGCTTTCCTATCGCTCTGACTTTGTGAAATAGTCTGACTTGGACTGCGCTGGGGTGGTGATGACACTGTGGGACACTGTCGTCAACCCGCGGCTCTGCCAGCGGGTTCTGGGAAGTCACCATTGTTTGAACTCCTAATCTCGCGCTGAGGCGGACGCACGTTATTGCCTACAGAACGGGGTCCAAGAAAGCTTTGACTTTGAGTGTAACTGATTGGTATGGCACAGAAAGTATGTATTTTCTACAGAATCCAGAAAAGAACCGGTGGGCCCAGCCCCGATGCGGCCCCCGGAGGCTAGCGGCCGTCCTGGGAGGCCTGCTCGTCGGCCCTGCAGTGAGCTTCCAAGGCTTTCTTGGTGTGGGGTTCCTGAGGCAGCTCGGACTTGCGGCGTGCAAGGGGACGGTCCTTCTTCGGATCTTTCTGTGCCTGGAATTAGAAATGCAATGGCGTTGGCTCCAAACTAAGCTATCTGAAAAGCGAGCTCACGTCTGAGTTGGAAGTCAAAGGACAACTGCGAGGCACATGTGCCTCACCCCTCACTACCGGCACCCTGGCCACAGGGAAAGGGCATATGTCTTATCATGGAAATTCACCAAAAATGTCTTGCTACTAAAAATCATGACTCGTGTGAGGGCCTGTGTGTTCAATACCAGCACACTGGTCTTCTGAAATGTGCTGTGCTTTTATAAAGGACTCAGTACCTCTAATCTGCAGAATTCATGCAGTTTAGTAAATCTCATAAACAACCTCCTATTTCATAAATGTCATTAAAGCCATTTTATGGGCATATCCCCTACGGAAGCATTTCAGAAAGCAGAAATTTCCTTGGAGGTAAAAGAAAAAAAAAAAAAAGAATGAATGAAAAACATACTTAAATTGGATTTCAAACTTCTATCAAATTGGGAAAAAAAAAAGACACTTTTTTCCCCCCAATCCATTGTCTTCCTAACAGTCTAGGAAATTTTGTTTTCACTTAAAAAAAAAAAAATGACCCTATCACGGTACTTGTGAGAGCGTGTTAACGTGTGAGGATGTAAAGCATGACCACCTTCAGCCCATGAGAAGCTCAGAGGTGAATTGCTACCCTGAATTTTATGCTCATTCTATGTTGATCTGTAAAACAAAGTAAAGCAAAACAAAACCAAGATTTTTATATGTTTGAAATGTGTAATTACAGCTGAAATAGGCACTTCACAGAGAAGAAACATTTTCATAGAAAAAGGCAACAGTAAAAACCTTGGAGCTGGAACCGGTGAATGCGATCTGAGAACCCAAACATGACCCCAGAGCCTCTGAAAGGACAGAAAGCCAGTGACCACATCTGGGCCTTTCTGCTCAGACATTTAAAAATGATGTGCAAAGCGGAGAATAATTTTACTATCCACAAAGGAAGAAAATGAGAAGAACAGGAGGCAGGGAGGAGAAGACAGCATGGCAGATGGTGGGGCTGACGAAGGGCCTGGTGGAGGGGTGTGCAGGTGGACATGCCGGTGGGGACGGAATGGACCGCAGGAGACACAGTCATGGAGAGGTGGCCTCTGCTCTGCAGCCCACGGGCAGATCCAGAGGCTCACTATAAACCTTAAGTGCTAAAAGAACACCAAGGGTTGGGCATACATGGCTCTGCAAGTTTTCTTCCTCTTAGAAAGGTGTGAATTCAAACTTCACTACTTAATTTGGGACAGAAATAATCAATGTTTCTTAAGGGACCAAATTTCTTAAACTTTTTTTAAAATTAGAGACAGGGTCTCTATCACCCAGGCTGGAATGCAGTGGTGTGACTACAGCTCACTGCAGCCTCCAACTCCTGGGCTTAAGGGATCCTCCTGCCTCAGTCTCCTGAGTTGCTAGGGTGACAGGCATGCAACACATGCCTGGTTAATTTTTTTTTTTTCTTTTTGTAGAGATAAAGTCTTGCTGTGTTGTCCAGGCTGGTCTTAAACTCCTGGCCTTCAGCAGTTCTCCTGCCTCAGCCTCCCAAAGTGTTTGGATTACAGGCATGAGTCATGGTGCCCAGCCACCAAATTTCTTTCTTTTTTAATTTTAATTTGAGACGGAAGTCTCACTCTGTCACCCAGGCCTTTCCCAATCCTTTTCCCAGCAAACAGCGACCTCGGCTCACTGCAACCTCCACCTCCTGGGTTTGAGCGGTTCTCCGGCCTCAGCCTCCCCAGTAGCTGGGATTACAGGTGCCCGCCACCACGTCTGGCTAGTTTTTTGTTATTTAGTAGAGATGGGGTTTCACCATATTGGTCAGGCTGGTCTCAAACTCCTGACCTCAGGTGATCCACCTGCCTCGGCCTCCCAAAGTGCATGTGCCATTGCACCCGGCCTCCCAGCCGTCAAATTTCTTTAATTTTGTTTTGACCATCACAAGCTGGAATGACATGGACAAAAGGGAAAATACTTCATGTACTCATGAACTCATCAATTCTTTTCCCAGCGAACAGGCCTCCCACGTGCTCTCCACGCTGAGTCCTGAGTACCTGCACTGCCACCTGCCGTCTCTCTACGCCTTCCTCACTTGCATGGCTGGCACTGCTTTTCTCCCAACCAACTGTTAAAAATGAGAATGGCAAACATTTTGAATGTCTCTAATACAAACGGCATTTCAGTGATATTTGCTAGTTTTCTCTGGATGTTCTATTAGTTACAGGGTTATACTAGTTTCCGGAAGGAAATGTAAATAATGGATAGGTAAACACATGGTTGAATTTCTCCACAAAAATCCAGCCTGCTCCCTCCGTCAGCATCAGGGCCTCCTTCCCACTCCCCAGCTACGCCTTTGACTCCCTCCCCCTGTCCCGACCCAACACTCACATCATCTGAAAGAAATGTGAAATTATTTTGGAAAAATAAAGTTAGCTGAAAATTAAAAGGGCACTGAATATATTCAAATGACTATATATAAAAACCAAAAAAGCTTAATTTTTAGCTATAATTTCTCATATCAATTTGGTCACCAAATTGTGCACATACATTTTTCCTACATCCTGGTACTTTTAACATTTTTAGGGTCAGAGTCTGGCTCTGTCACCCAGGCTGGAGTGCAGTGGCGCGATCATAGCTCACAGCAGCCTTGAACTGGTAACCTTCTTTTTGCTTTAACAACAGGGCTTTTCAGAATTTCAGGAAAACAGCTCCAAACGTTTTTCAACTTATGTTTATCGGCAGAGCTCAGTGGCTCATGCCTGTAATCCCAGCACTCTGGGAGGCCAAGGGGGACAGATCACTTAGACCAGGAGTTTGAGACCAGCCTGGCCAACAGGTGAAACCCTGTCTCTACCAGAAATATAAAAATTAGCCAAGTGTGCTGGTGCCTGTAGTCACCGCTGCTCGAGAGGCTAAGTGGGGAGGGTTGCTGGGGTCCAGGAGGCCGAGGCTGCAGTGAGCCAAGACTGAGCCGCTGCATTCCAGCCTGGGTGTCAGAGCAAGACCCTGTCTCGAAATTAAAAAAAAAAAAAAAAAAAAAAAAAAAGCAGAATTTATCATAATTTCAAATATTATACCTAGAGACTGGACTTCATGAATATCTTCATCTGGATAGGCTGAATTCAACTGAATTCAATTGATTCAACTGGTCCATAGAAATCTGTAAGGAGTCAGGCCAGGCACAGGGCCTCACACCTGTAATCTCAGCACTTTGGGAGGCTGAGGTAGGGGATCGCTTGAGCCCAGCAGGCTGAGGCTGCAGTGTGTGTGACCATGCCACTGCACTCCAGTCTGGGTGACACAGTGAGACCCTGTCTCCAAAAACAAACACGCACACACGGTTACGTCTTGAAATTGCATAGTGTTGTTAGTCTTCCAGCTTCGTTTTTTCACAGTTGTTTTGGCTATTCCAGATCCTTTGCATTTCCATGTGAATTTTAGAATGAGCTTTTCAATTTCTTGAGAAAAAAAGCCTGCTGAGATTCTAATGGAGATTACGTTGATTTGGGGAAAAGTGACTTCCCAATGACATTGAGTCTTCTGACTCAGAAACATGATTCATAGTGCTCTAAGGATGAGGTGAGTGAACTGCCGTTGTAACAATGTCCATCACACAGGAAGCCCAGTCACAGAACAAAATCTCAAGAATTGTGAAAACAAGGAAGCCGACATGCTACAGGAGTTGTCCAAGAACTGTCCTGCCTGTGTGCGTATTCAGAACTAAAGTGGATGACCACAGGACTGGCTCCTTCCTGTCACAGTATATGGTAAGCCTCTCAGGAAGGGACATGCCCCTTCCCAAGGGCAGTGGACAGACCAACCTGTTGGAAGTTTTTGGGGCCCTGAATATCACACAAATACTAGAGCTGACTTTTAAAGGCAGCTTTACTCAAGAGAGAATGCTATTTTGGTTTGCATTCTTGATCAAGTTCTTAATCTACTAGAGAGCAGGACCTAAATTTTAAATATGTACGTGCCTTTCAGGTACATTACCTTCTGGATATAGTTTATTCTTTGCCTAGCTTTAATTCTGACCTAAGTTAAAGGCTGTATCAAAAAGAAAAATTCCCCAACCCTAAGCTATTTAATATGTAAGAATTGGCTTTTTTGGCAGGGAGGTGGGGGGTGGGGATGGAGTTTTGTTCTTGTTGCCCAGGCCAGAGTGCCATAGCACAGTCTCGGCTCACTGTAACCTCTGCCTCCGAGTTCAAGTGATTCTCTTGCCTCAGCCTCCCAAGTAGCTGGGACTACAGGCACCTGCCACCATGCCTGACTAATTTTTCTATTTTTAGCAGAGAGGGGGTTTCATCATGTTGGCCAGGCTGGTTTTGAACTTCTGACCACAGGTGATCTGCCCGCCTTGGCCTCCCAAAGTGCTGGGATTATAGGTGTGAGCCACCGCACCTGGCCAAGAACTGGCTTTTTAAGTGTGTAGCCTTGTGTCTTATAAACGAACACATGGTCACAAACTCCCAGGCAGGCTCCCTGACAGGAGACACTGACTGTGTTTCCTTCTGTGTGCGCTAACGAGGACAGCTTACGTGTCTTTAGCAAATTTGAAGCCATAAAATCAAAATGGTGATTAAAAAGGCAACCTGAAATTCCTGAGTTATGAAAAAAATATCAAGGACAAACATTAACACTCCCACAGAGAGAGAAATATATACACATTTTCGTGTTTTTGATGAAATCTGTTCATTGCTAAGAACATTCATTGTGAGGAAAGTATGGAATCCAACTGGATTAGATAGAAAATTAGTTACTGATGTTCAGAGTGTTCAGTGAGCGTTTCCACTGTATTTCTAGTATTTTCAGGCTTTGATGAGCTGAAAGAAGCATTTGGTCATCTATTCTGCTCTTCACCTGAGTTGAGGAATTAGAAGCGGAAGAGGCAGGCAGCCGCGGCTACCGTGGGGCTGGGGCAACGAGCCCTGTCCTGTGCAACTCTGAGAAAGGAGCCCAGACCAGCGCAGCCCAGCTGGGACACAGCGCCACCGTGTAATTCTAAATCTTCTACGAGTCACAGTCAGAGAGTAAAAAGAAATGGGGGGGCATTCATTTAATAATATATTTTATTTCATCCAGGTTGAGTATCCCTAATCAGAAAATCTGCAATGCTCCAGAATCCAAACGTTTTGAGCACCAATATGACGCTCAAGGGAATGCTCACTGGGATATTCTGGGTTTCAGAGTTTTGGATGAGGAATGCTCAACTGGTAAACAGAATGCAAATATTCAAATATCTACAAAGATCTGAAATCCAGAACCCTCTGGTGCTACGCACCTTGGATAAGGGATACTCAACCTGCACATCAAAAACATGATCACTTCAACACAGAATTAAAAAATTACAAGTGAGATGTTTTTACACTCTTCCTAGGAAGTGCTAAGAGTACTTGTGGGCTTTTTACACTGACAGCACGGCCTGGTTCAGACAGGCCCCATTTCCAGTGCTCTGTAGCCACGGGTGCTCAGGGCTGCCTGTTGGCACTGAGCTCTGAGGCCGTCTCTTTGTGCTCTTTCTTGGCAATGCCTTGTCCTGTCTGATCAGGTGGAAAATAGGATTTACTTGAATCAAAAACTAACAGATTTAAAAACCCTCCCGGTTTAAGTGAGCTCCAAATGACACTGCCTTTATAAACCAGTCGTGTACAGTATTCAATAATGGGGATCATTTCAGCTACCTTCACTTAAAAAAAAAAGTGAAAGTGAGTTTATTAAGAAAGAAAAGGAATAAAAGCACGGCTACTCCACAGGCAGAGCAGCCTACTTCCACTTTTTCCATCAGAATTTTAGAACTGGATGTCCTTAGGAGTTCTTTCGTTGATCAAAAAGTGGTTAAAGTTTCTCAGCGAGAAAGGCCAAGGTCCCCAGACGCTTTGGCAATACTTGTTTCGTTTACAGGCATTTGAAACAGGGAGGAATGCTCAGGGCAACACAGCAGTTGAAAGGCTCCTTGAACCCAAGCAGGAACTAAGTAAACTGTCCTCGTTAGAGCCTAAGTGCTCACATGCCCAACTTAGGAGGAAGAGTGGTAGGAGGCTCTCTTTGCATCAGGGGTGATCTGTATGTCCACTCCACAACAAAGGAAAGAAAACCACAGAGCAGGGGCATCACCTGAGGTGGTCTGTGAGCTGGGGTGTCACCCGAGGAGGTCTGTGACATAAGCACTGAAAGACAGTGCCTGGGAGGGGGGCGAGGCAGGTGAGGAGCAAGGTGTCCTTGGGGAGAGGGGTTGTTAGCATCTGCTGTGAAGAGCTAAAAGGTAGCATCTCTGGGCCAAAGCAGAAGCCAGAGGGCTGCAGAGGGAAAAGCGAGGGGTGGAAATGGCTGTGAAGCTTTCGATTCTGCTGGAGTTAACATCTAAAGAGCTAAGAGCTGGGACTGCTACTGTTGGTGAATGGAGATACAAATCTCAGGCACACACTTAATCCTTAAAAACGGTTTCTAGTAATTTGAGCGCTAAGATCTATAGATAAAATGTTTCCTATAAGACTGGCAAAATTTAATTTTTAATTCCAGCTTAAACAGAAGGCACTGATGCAAATCATATCGCCTACTGAAAGTATGTGTATTTCTTAAGCAAATCTGTCACGGGCGCCCAGCTGACCTTGGTGCACTTTTACCTGATGAGCCTCGTCCTTCACTGTCTTTCTCAGCATCTGCACATCTTCAAATAAAGGCCCATCTGTCTCCATTGCAACCGGAATGCTCACGGTGCTGGCTTGACTATACATTGTGTACTGCAATGCAAAGTGCGGAGTCACTCCGTTAGGTGCCCAGGCTCTGAACTCCAAGCTTCTCATCCTGGCCAGGGATGTATCATCTCCCCTGCCGCCCCCCAGGACCCTCTCCCGCAGGAAGCCCACTCTGTGGGAGACTCGACTACACCTGCAGCATGACGCGACTTGCTGACTCTGGAACCAGAAAGCACTCCCACTGAGACAGCAAAGCAGCTGGTCCCCTACTGCCCGCCCCAGAGATCACCTCCAAGCTCCTCCTGGCCGCTCTGCACCTGATGGAGAGTGGGCCCACACCCCACTGCCTCCGCGGTTCTGACTCCACAAGAGCAGCCAAGCACTAGGTCACGCCCTGGGCTGGGTGGCAGCTGTCTCACCACTGGAACCTTCGTCTCTGGCCACCCATTCTTTGCCAGCAATCTCCAACCTCGTGACTCCCTTCCCTTTCCTGTCATGATCGTGTCCTCTCACCGAGGTGGCTAGCACGATCCCCCCTCCCCTTTATCCCATTTCCCAACTTGATTACGAAACCCTCTCATCACATCCCCTGTGACTTGCTCTCCACCAACACAACTGCGGTCTGGGTGAGCCTGCCGTTCCTCCCTGTTCCCGTACCTGGTTCCCTACGGGTGGCCTGGGACTTCTCCACTCTCCCTGTGCTCTGGATTGAGACGCAGATGGCTCAGCCCTCAGCCACTGGGCCTGGCTGACGCTGTTTTCATGAGTGTAGTGTGGGGGTGAGGTTACCCCGGAGGGTGGCTGTGAGGGTCCCATGAGGCAGGGTGCCCGGGACAGCATGACTGGGGGCAGTGTCTGCTCGCTCTGATGGGGGACAGGTGAAGGAAGTGGCATCCGTTGTCTGCCATGACCTGGGAACTGTGCAGGGTACCCATTTGTCCTGCATGGTCGTGTGTGCTGCACCCTCACCTGGCTGATGGGGGAACTGGGACATCGAGGGGCTGGGTAACTTGCTCAGGGCCTCTGAGTTGGGGAGAGGGGAGTGGGGGTTCTCACCCAGGCTGCTCTCATCCATGTGCGCCCATTCTCTGCCCAGTGGGTCCCCAGCTTCAGCCTCTTACAGTCTGCACCCCTAACACAGCAGCGCCCTCCTGCTTCATCCCTGCCCCCCACCCCTCCCAGCCCAGAGCAGCTCCATTCTCAGCTACCATCTGGTGTCGGCCCTCACTTGATGGAGCCACATCTGGCATGAGCCCTATGGGTGCCCTCTGGCTGCTAAGCCCTTCCTGGCCTTGCCTCGCTGGCCCTCTCTGGGAATGATGACGGTGAACGCCATCATTCAGCCCTGAACTGCAGCTTCCCTCAGTCTCTGTGATCCCAGCCTCTCCTCCGGGCGTCTTGGGCTCTTTGCTGTGCGCCCTTCGGCCCTTTCCCACACCCCCTGCGCCTCCTCCTTCACCAGGCTACCCTGTCCCCCAGCCCAGGCCCTGCTGCTCAACTCTGGGCCCACCTGGCTTCCGCTTCCCCCAAAATAGCTGAGCACACGCCCTAAGCTGGGCTCCTTCCTCGAATGCCAGTAGGGCCAGGTCCTCAGCGCCCTCTGTCTTTCACTCCCACAGCTCCGCCCAGCACCACGATCTCCCCACACGTCCCCAACCCTGACGGCCCCAGCACACCATCCACTGTGCCAGAAGAGCTTGCGAAAATGCAAGTCGGACTGGGCCATTTTGCCCTTTAAGGCTCTTTAATATCTGCTCACTCTGTGGGCGAAAATTCTGCTCCCTCCCCACCCTCGCCTCTCAGTAGATCACAGCGGCCCTCCCCATAACCCACTCCCCTGCCAGGGCCAACACCTGCCACGCACTGTGTCCCTGCTTTTCTCTACCTCTGCCGCAGGCACCTTCCCTCAAGTCTCACTTGGTGACCGCCCTCAGCCAAACCAAGAAGCCTGGCCCCATACTGTGCGTCTTTCTTTGGAGATGGGGATGGATAAGCCAGTCCTGCACCTCCAGCACCCCCACCCACCCCAGGTGTGCTATTCATACAATCTGATTATCCGAGCTGAGTTCGTCTGCCTTTCCCAATGGACTGTAAGCTCCTTAAGGCTGGGGCTGTGTCTTGTTCTCATCTTTGTATCTCTAGAAATTTCCACAATTTGGGACACAGCACCTCCTGGAGGGGGCTCACAGTCAGGTACGGAGATCCAGAAACATAAGTGGCTACAAGACTCCTGAGACGTTTCACTCCAACACTTCCGCTTCCGACTACTCCAGGCAATGAGCAGTGCTTTTCATGGGACCCACCAACAGCCCATGCTTGGAGCATGGCTTGTTGCCCCCTCGGGACAAAGGAGAATGTCCCCACACAAGAATGCTGCCAGATGTTCACAGCAAAATAAACCTCACATAGCGGGCACCAGCAGCAGAGGGTTCTGCCTAGGAGTAAAAACCTTCACTGAAGGTTGGGCGCGGTGGCTCACGCCTGTAATCCCAGCACTTTGGGAGGCCGAGGCGGGCAGATCGCGAGGTCAGGAGTTCGAGACCAGCCTTGCTAACATAGTGAAATCCTGTCTCTACTAAAAATATAAAAATTAGCCGGGCATGGTGGTGTGCACCTGTAATCCCAGCTACTCGGGAGGCTGAGGCAGGAGAATCACTTGAACCCAGGAGGGGGGAGGTTGTGGTGAGCCGAGATGGCGCCACGTACTCCGGCCTGGGCAACATAGCGTGACTCTGTCTCAAAACAAACCCTTCACTGAGATGCGTTCCCCACATGAGCTCCTCCCTCAAAGGAAAGGCAGGTATCCAGCCCAGACCCTGCCCTGGGTCGCTCACAGCACCGTTTTGGTCATTGCAAACACTGAGCCACAGTTACTCTGAGTTCACAGAAGTGCCCGTCTTCATTTCACACGGTTCCCGGGAAAGCTGGGGGGAGCAGTAAAATACTCTATGGCCCCTTTTGATGGATTAGCAGAAACACATTTATGTTAGAAACTGCCAAGATTTCATGATTAAAAAAAATTAAATCATGTGTGACATTAAAAACCCCAATGAAGCTGCCACAATGCGTCAAGTAAGACTCGGTCCTGAGGGCACCGCAGCCTGCCCAGGCCCAACGCCTGCTGGGCGCGTCGTGTGTTTGAGCGGATGGCGGCTCAGTCTGCAGGGGCGGTGGGGGCCTAGGGAACACGGAGCCAGTCCCTGGGAACCCACCTTAAAACGCCCGCAAACCAATCTCCACAGGTGGGTCTGAGATGGAAAACCAAACCTTGAAAGCCCAACTGTTTTCACTTCAGCAATAAAGACTGTGTTATCCACAACACTGCTGACTTTCTGTTGCTGTTGTAATGGCAAACAGTGGCCAGAATCTAGAGACTTTCTCCTGAGAATGAGAAGCAGGTACTGAGGCCGGAGTGTCCAGCTCTGAGGTATTAACCCATGAAGTATTTTCTGCTTAGGAGACCATGTGCCATGCAACTAGAGCGTGGGGACGAGACTCATGGGGACTGCGTCACAGATGGCATCAACACACAGATGAGGACGGGGCAGGGCCAAGCTCCAGCATCACAGTTGGTCAAAGTCCAGTGCAAAACCCAGGGCACGTCTGCCATCACCACAGACGTTTGTAAGGAGAGCAACCAAAAAGAATACACAAAGCTACTTGAGAACATTCAGGAAAAGTGGAGAAAAAGAAAAAGAACAATATGTATTTTGGAAGAAACACTAGTTCTGTACAGTATGTACAGTGGTGAAGCTGGGCCATGTTTGTCAACACAAACAACCAACTCTTGGTTTATAATATAACAATTTTATGCAATTTTTTCAATAAGTTATTTTAATAAGTTATTTCTAAGTAAATAAAATCAGCCCTTCTGATTCGTGTGTGTGTGCATGCGCGTGTATGATTTCTCACATGTTTCGAGGCTGCTGATTTTGAATGCGTGTGTGCTGGGGTCTTTGAAAATCCTATCTGAGGCCTGTCTGCACCCCTTTACCTGTGGCCCTTCAGAACAAGGCAAGACACACAGGACAGCGTCAGGCAGGGCTGGGCCTTGCAAACCTCCCCAGGTTTATAGTGTTACTGTTTTAAAACGAGTATCAGTTTTTTAACCACACTTTCAACAAAAATTCAATTAGTTAAAGTAGATACCTATAGCTAGCTACCTCAATTAAGGACTATACAGTTTTAGACTGTAATCTTAAAACAGCATTTCTATGTAAGCATGAGTAAATACTGCGAGAAAAATGTTGGCTGCCTGTCTGAGGTGGACTCAAGGACTTACGCTTAGAAATAGCACTCACTTTGCCTATGGTTTGAGTCTCTTGATGGTAGTTTCATCAGAGTACACAAACCAATATGTTGTTCTATAGGTAAATATATACTTTTCACTTCATATTCATGTAGAACTTTTTATCAAATGTCAGAGAAATTTTGAAACCAACTTAGATAACTGTGCATCTCTCACTAAAAGAAATAAATCGTTCAGCAAAATCTTTTCTGGAGAGCTGGAGGAAAGCCTGAGAGTTCGTAGAGTGGCAAAGATTCAGACGAGATTTTCTGAAAAAGATTTCCTTTACGAGAGGCACTGTTACGTCAGGCACACAGAACATGAAGGAACAACTGTCAGGATAATTGATCATTGAGACCAGTGTACATAAAACCCAAAGACCATGACACTGGAAGCCCCCCCGGACCATGGTGCCCTGGCAGCTGGAACTGCTGGGAGCTCCAGGGGGTCCAGCCATTGGTGCAGGCTCCGCAGGGCACACTGGCACCCACTGCTGGGACGGGAAGGAAGGTTAGTTGTTAACGAGGCAGAATTCAGATAATTTTTAATGATAAAAGGCTGGGCCTACAGACACCTCATACAAAGAAAGAGGATATCAAAATGTCATCCTTAATCTATTTCCAATTGAATTTCCTTTTGGAATTAATTTCATGAGAAAAAGGGAAACATGATTTGAGTTACAGCATCTATGATGTCTGACAGAGAGAGCACAGTCTTGGCTTGTATTTAAGTTTTCTTTTTACCACAGTATATTCATAAGACTCAGGTCTTATTTAAAAAGCAGAAGAAAAAAGTCAATTCTGTGGTAAAAACGTTATGGGGCAAAATAAGTAGTTGTACAAGAGGAGGGTTACAAAGTTTAAAAGTACTTTTTATTGCAGGCATTTTCATATACAACGTTAGTGAAATCAAGTCCCCCCCTCCCATGATGAAGACATATTCCTATCTTATAAAAACATTCAAGTAACCCTGGACATTTTCATGTTACTCTCTTTTTTAGTACCTGGGGATTGGCTTTGGCTAGATTTTCTATTTTAACCCATGCTTCTTCCCGTTCTTTCATTTTTAGCTTCTCTCTGAAAAACAGCAAAACGTCATCTGTGTTAGAGATGAATCGCACACCAGAACGCGCCATGGGCACAGCACAGGCATGGTCAGTGGGAGCGGCTCCTCCCGCGGCCCTCTCCGTCCATCCCCGCACTCACCACAGTGCTGAGCACACACGAGAAACACACCAAGATTTAAACCTAGAAAGTATTAAAGTGCTAAAAATTTAACATGTCCAAGAACTGAACTCTTCAAAGAAACCTTACATAAGTAAGTCTCACGTCTCCATCCTTCCCCCTTCCCCTGGTTAGTCATTTCTTTATGGGACCTATATGATTTCGATGAGAGTTCAAACATCCACTGAAAAACAAGACTGCAGTACAGTGGAAAGGGACCAGTGTAAAGGAGCCAACATTCCCCTTCTGACAATATTAAAAATGAAAAGTCTTAGGAGCCAGGAGACCTGGTTGTTGACTGACTCCACTGTGAGTCACATGACTCTCAGTAAGTCACTTTACTCAGATCCAGGTTTTTTTTTTTTTTTTTTTTGAGACAGGGTCTCACTCTGTCCCCCATACTGGAGTAAAGTGGCATGATCTAGGCCCACTGCAACCTCCACCTCCCAGGCTCAAGCAATTCTCCTGCCTCAGTCTCCTGAGTAGGTGGGATTACAGGCACGTGCCATTATTACCCGGCTAATTTTTGTATTTTTAGTAGATACAGGGTTTCACCATGTTGGCCAGGTTAGTCTCGAATTCCTGACCTCAAATGATCCACCCGCCATAACCTCCCAAAGTGCTGGGATTACAGGCATGAGCCACCACGCCTGGCCAGGATCCCAGTTTTTTAACCCAGAAAATGTACTACACAACCTTTAAGGTCCTGTTGAGAAAGCTGTGGGATTCCAGGAGAGGAAGATCCGCCATCAGAAAGCCCTGCTGCATGCACGCTTCCTATCCATCCGCACACTGCACTGAGCGCCCAGAGGACGGGCCGCGCAGCTGGCAACTCGGGAAGAATGGCTGCCTGTCTCCCCGGGCCCTGTCCTAATTTATTTCTCATCATCTCTCACACTCTATACTTCACTTATTTCTATTTTGCGTTTTTTCTCTTTCCACCCTACCCAGAATATAAACCCCAAAAGGGCACGGATTTTTGTGGGTTTTATTCATTGCTATATTGCCAGAATCTAAAACAGGGCCTGGTGTATAGGTAAATATTCACATATTTGTCAAAGGAGTGAGTAAATGGCAGTTGTTTTACACACACACACACGCACACACACACACACACACACACACACACACACAAACTGTATTTTGAACTACATTCATGCAAACCTTTTCTGCCTTAGCCAGTTTTAAGTGACAAGCGAAGAATAACATCTGCCAATAATCCATACTCAACTTGGAAGAAGTGACCACTGACTACTTAATCACATTGTTATTTGCACGGCCTAGGGACGAAGTACCTTGTCAGTTAGACCACCCCTCAACAGATGTGGGCTCAAAGGCACGAAAGCAGGACCCTGACTTTGCAAAGAACAGACTAGATTCCAAAGGACACCTACATTGATGGAGTTCATTAAGTCAGAATGAAGCCACATTGAAAGGAAGATTCTTGCTCTCTTGTATAAAATTTACAGGATATAATTCAAATCCCTGCCTTACAAACATGAAAAATGACTATACATTATAGCCTTTAAACCCATTACAGCCCAAGAAAAGAACAAATTCTGAATGTTAAATTCTTGCCCACATAAGCACTTTTTGCAAAGATGATTAATCTACCAGTGCGAGGAGAAGGAGAACTAGCTTTAACCACCTGTTCTTTCCAAGTAAGTAATTATAACACAGTCTTAATTTCCCTTCCAAGTATGAGAGGCTTGGTTTTGCCTTCACGTGAAGAATAACTTTTTAGGACAAAACAATGGAAGAGGCTTATTTAGGATTAAGAAAAAAACCCTGGAAACAGTAACTTGTGAAGGGAACAACTCACTTTAGTTTCTCTGCTTTGAACTGTTGTGTGCAGTCATCAAATAGCTTTTGGTTCATCTCCATGAAGAGCTTCAGGGCGTTGTATATCAAGCCATGTATTGTCCTGGAAAGACAAGTGCACGGTGAGCCTGGGGGCACGTGCTCCTGCACAGCCCTCCCCTCCGCACACCTAGGCTGCTCCATGTTCCCAGCCCACCCCGCACAGGTTCCCTCAGCTCTAAGTGCAAGGCCTGCCCATTCCCAGAGACTCGTTTTCCAACAGTCAGCCACACACCCGAGACTTTCTTCACAGTGGCTCCCACACAGCCCAGCCACGGAGGTCACTCCGCTTACTGTCCCCAGCTGACAGTAGCTAAAACCACCTTGCTCGGAAACTAAACTGAATTTAAAATGTTGAAACTTGAACAAACACAATTAAGATGAAATTATAAAGAGGACAATAATGGCAATAGTTTATTTCCTATAAATGTCAGTTTCTTTTCATCCTGTTCCCTGAGGACAGAAAAATTAATTTTAATAATGCCAAAACAGAGGTTTGAAAGAGCAAATAAAATTAGCATAAAACAGCTTAATCAAAGCTTAACTCTCAGGCTCTAACACACAGGGAGAGGGAAAGAGGCCAAGTGGTCCCAGCTGAGCCTCTAGGTGACCCTAGTCCCAGCTGCCATCAGATTGCAACCACATAGGAGCCCTGATCCCCCAGCAGACACCAGCAGAAACCTGAGCAGCAGAGCCTGGTCAGCCCACAGAATTGTGAGCAACAGTTGCTGGGAGTTAAAAAACAAACAAATACCAAAAACATAACCCTCAAATCGCAATTACTTCTTAATCCACTTTATAATAAAATCCAAATAGCACTTAGAAAATACTTAAAAGAACATTTTTTTCTTTGCAATGGGAAGGAATTGAAAGTCAGTTATTAATTGTGCTGACTTGCACACCATACTAAATTATACGCAACAAATACGGCTACACTCCAGGAGCTTTCATTGTCCTTGTTGAGCTCAATTAAAAAAAAAAATTGGATGGGCGTGGAGGCTCATGAGGTCAGGAGTTCAAGACCAGCCTGGCCAAGATGGTAAAACCCCATCTCTCCTAAAAAAATACAAAAATTAGCTGGGCGTGGTGGCAGGTGCCTACAATCTCAGCTACTGGGAAGGCAGAGGCAAAGAACTGCTTGAACCCAGAAGGCGGAGGTTGCAGTGAGCTGAGATTGTGCCACTGCACTCCAGCCTGGCGACAGAGCGAGACTCCATCTGAAATAAATGAATGAATGAATGAATACAAGCCAGGCGTGGTGGCTCATACCTGTAATCCCAGCACTCTGGGAGGCCGAGGCGGGTGGATCACAGGGTTAGGAGTTCAAAATCAGCCTGGCCAAGATGGCGAAACCCTGTCTCTACTAAAAAATACAAAAATCAGCTGGGCATGGTGGCGCACACTTGTAATCCCAGATACTCGGGAGGCAGAGGCAGAGAATTGCTTGAACCTGGGAGGTGGAGGTTGCTGTGGGCTGAGATTGTACCACTGCACTCCAGCCTGGGTGACAGAGTGAGACTCTGTCTCAAAAAAGAAAAAATTCAATGCAAAGCAGGCGCAGTGGCTCATGCCTATAATCCCAGCACTTTGGGAGGCCAAGGCAGGTGGGTCACTTGAGGTCAGGAGTTCAAGACCAGCCTGACCAACATGGTGAAACCCCATCTCTACTACAAATATAAAAATTAGCTAGGCATGGTGGCTTATACCTTTAGTTCTAGCTACTTGGGAGGCTGAGGTAGGAGAATCGCTTGAACCTGGGAGGTGGAGGCTGCAGTGAGCCGAGATCACGCCACTGTGCGGCCTCCTAACTCCCAGTGTCTGTTGGGGCAGCCTGGGCAGCCACAGAGCAAGACTCCATCTCAAGAAAATAAATGCTCCACAGAACAGGCTGTTGGGGTGGATGTGCTGTATTAACAACTGCACCCCCACACTATTGCCGCGAGGGTCATGGCTGATGCTGCTTCCGCTGCTATCAGCACGGCTGCTGGCCCTACAGCCACCAAGTGACAGCAAATGCTTACTCGGTGCCTATCATAAGCCTTGTACTTTATGCATATTAGCAATCTTCACAGCCAAGTGGAGGTTGTTGCAAGGCAAAGCAGTTGACTTTCTCAGTTTTTCCGAAGAGAAAACCGTGGCTGAGAAAGAGCTGGTGAGAGCGAACTTGCCCGCGTTTGGACAGCTGGTCAGGAGGAGGATGGGAATGTGAACCAACATCATCCTTCCTCTGATCTGCCTGCCCTTCTCTGTTCAATTCCTGGGAAGCAACCCTAACAGGACTTGATGCTGGTGGACCGGCTGGATCCTCGCTCTGGGGTCTGGCTCAGAGCTCCAGGGCTAACACCTGTCTGGCTGCTGCCCTGCAGAATTCTGGAAAGGAGGCAGTGCCACCTGCAGCCTTGAGCGGGCAGGGAGAGAGGGTGTGTGGGATAGGGCTGGTGCGCCGGCAGCAGGCTGTGCAGCACAGCAGGAGGGGTGCCCCCACAGACACTGCGAGTTAACCACACTGGGCCAGAGTGCCGCTCGCCAGCTTCATGAGCGCAGACTGGACTGCCGCCGCTCAGCAAGTTTTCCCCTCCTCACAGGGAAACTAAGGGAAGAGAGCTGGATAGCACGGCTCTGCTCTTCTTTAAGTTCTGAGTTATAATTACAATATACAAAGGAAAGATGAAAGAAGGTGGGGAAAGAAAAACTCAGATACTGCTATTTCTTTAAATAACAGGAGTGTTAGATGATTCTATATTAATAAACAATACGGCCAGGTGCAGTGGCTCACATAATCCCAGCACTTTGGGAGGCTGAGGTGGGCGGATCACTTGAGCCCAGGAGTTCGAGACCAGCTTGGGCAACATGGCAAAACCCCATCTCTACAAAATATACAAGAATAGTCCTAGCTACTCGGGACGCTGAAGCAGGAGGTTTGCTTGAGCCCAGGAGGTCGAGGCTTAAATGAGCCATGATTGTGATTACACTCTAGCTTGGGCGATACAGCAAGACCCTGTCTAAAAATAAACAAAATTCAAAATTAAAAAAAGACAAATAAATAAAAAATGTGGCACCCAAATCAACTGTTTCTTTTTAAAGTCTCAGAAGACTATTGCTCAGTAAACAGATTGATTCATCCTCTGTAAGTCAAAAGATGAAAGAGCAGAGTAGAAGGAAATTCTTTTGGCTCCTGGGGCTGTAGGGCTGTGTTAGGGTCGCCTGCCTCCCTCTTCTTCTCCGGGTAGTAACCACCGTGGGGTGGTTTTTGGGGCTCACAGAGGGGCTCATCCAGGGTGCATGTCAGCGAAGCTCAAGAAACACCCTGAGAATGCGGCGGTCACTGTGCTCCTGCGGGGGCTGAGCCCCACCAGCTCTGCAGAGACCTTTGGCTCCTCTGCAGGATGCTCAGGAAGAGGCCTGGAAGCTGCTTCTATTGGGAGGTGGCTGCAAACCAATGCGCCTCTACACTGGCTAGAAATGAAGGTGAGGTGGTCACATGAAAGGCCACAGACGCAACCCACACTGCGACTTAATTTATGGGTCCACAAATCAATTGACATTGCTGTTTTTCAACTGATATTTAAAATTCAGATTTTTACTCTAACTGAAGCAGCGGCAAAATGTGCCACATTTTAAGATGACTGAAGAAGACCGCAGCCAGCTCTTTCTTACTTGTTCCAGTGGGTCTTTGAGTTGCGGTACAGGGAGGGAAACATGATGGGCAGAATCTTTGCTGCGTTGTCACTGATCAAACTCATGATGTATTCGTTGTTCCAGTAATAGAGCGCTCGCTCTGCCACCTGAAAGACACAAGTAGGTGACCTGCTGGAGGTCGTGCCTGAGACACGGGGCAGGTGTCTTTGCTGTTAAACCTGTGAGTCGGGTGATGAACTACGTTGGACCAGAAAGTTATGATTATTTCTATAAATTCAAAATATTCTAGACTGTAACCCTGAAAAGCCTTCAGCAAAGAGGCGGATAATTTCCTGTACATCAAGGAATCAAGAACACTGTCACACATTTCTCCACTTATTCAATAAACATTTATGTTGGACACTGGTTAGATGCTGAGGCGGCTACTCAAAGGAGGTTGTTCCACCCATCGGCCCGCCTCCCCCCGTCAGCTCTAGTGTGTGTGCTGTGTTCTGCTTGAGCGTTCAGCACTGAGCAAGCCAAGGCAGAAATCCCTGCCTCCATGGAGCTCACATCCTCGTGGGGAGGAGACAGGTGACGGATGATTATTAATTTACTAGAAATGGTGAGTCACATGCAAAGCGCAGCAGGGCAGGAGGACAGGCAATGTGTGTGGGGTTGGGTGGCTTCAATGCAGAGGAGGTGACTTCTGAGTGAGGTCCAGAGGGAGGAGAGGTCCAGAGTTGTCAGCAAGGGGCTGGCTGAGGACCACTGCAGAGGGCAGTGAGGGCACAAATGAGAGGGCAGGCGAACAGGGCCCGAGTGCATTGGCCCTTACTCACGGGAAGCCACTGGAGGTTCCCCTATTTTTTTTTTTTTTGAGACAGAATTTCGCTCTGTCACCCAGGCTAGAGTGCAGTGGCCCCATCTTGACTCACTGCAACCTCCACCTCCTGGGTTCAAGCGATTCTCCTACCTCAGCCTTCCAAGTGGCTGGGATTACAGGCATGCGTCATCACGCCTCACTAATTTTTGCATTTTTAGTAGAGATGGGATTTCATCATGTTGACCAGGCTGGTCTTGAACTGCTGACCTCAGGGAAAAAACAAAATCTAAAAATTAAGAATGAGCAGGGTACAGTGGCTCATGCCTGTAATCCCAGCACTTTGGGAGGCTGAGGTGGGCAGATTATGAGGTTGGGAGTTTAAGACCAGCCTGGTCAATATTTTGAAACTCCGTCTCTACTAAAAATAGAAAAATTAGCTAGGGGTAGTGGTACACGCCTGTGGTTCCAGCTACTTGGAGGCTGAGGCAGGAAAATCACTTGAACCTGGGAGGTGGAGCTTGCAGTGAGCCGAGATTGTGTTACTGTTACTCCAGCCTGGGTGACAGAGCAAGACTCTGTCTAGAAAAAAAAAAAAAAAAAAAGAACTTGCTGTCCTTAAGTGTGTGTGTCTGGAAAAATTCTGGAATGTACTCTGTGCTGATCAAGTCCTCCAAGAAGCAGAAGCCAAGATGGGTGCAAGCATGTTTGAGAGAGACAGATGAGGGTGAGTAGGGGCTGAGCCTGCAGCTGAAGGCCAAGGGGGTCCTGGCGCTGAACTCCTTGATTGGAGGCGTGGCGGGCTGCCCTGGCAGCCTTCATGCTCTGTTCTTGGCAGGGACGTGAAGGCTTCTGCGAATGTGGAGTAGCACTTGAGCCCCTGGCAGCTGCACGGCCCCCTTGGCTCTGCTTTCCCCACCTGGAATTGTCTCCTCCTTGCCCGGTCACATGCTTTTATTCAAAACAGTGCATCGCGTGGGTTTGCTGGTCCCCGTCTTCCCTTCCAAGTATAAAGTTACCTATATCGATAGCTAATTTTTCATTTGGGGAAGGGGTTCGAGTTTTCAGGACACTCCCCACAACTGCCAGTCTCTCCTTGGCATGCCAGCACCCTGTGCTACGGCCCCGCCTCTGTGGCGCTAGTCTCTACGTACGGTTTCTAGGAAACCATGCTCCTTTGTGCAAAGTGCTCGCACTGAAAGTCTTGAAAAACACTATTTTCTCTGTAGGCCAGGATTGATGGAAAAAAAAAAACCCCACAAAACCCAAAATATCATTTTCCTTTCCTAGTTCCTAATGTGAAAACTCACAGAAGTTTATAAAGTGAAAATAACCTGAATGTTTGTAACAGAAGAGATGACACCATGGCGGCTCCTTCCGTGAACCGGCTCAGCCTGGCCTCATTCACTGTGGTGCCCACGCTCCAGAGCGCCTCACTCTTCTACCACTTGCCTTCTTGTCTTAGTTTTGTCTTTTCAAAACCATCTTGAAAGGCTCAATTCGGAGGACCCTCACTCTTGTGGACCTTTTCTAGCCACTTAGACTTGTGCTAAGGTAACTGCCCACGTGTTTCCGAAAGCCTGCTGCACACGCCACCTGGCCCTTCATGGTCAGCTGTAAAGTGGTGGTGTGCCACGGTCACCCTCTTCCACTGTGTGGCCTGCTCCCTGGGCACCGGGAGGCCCTGCTCATTTTGTGCCTATTTTCACTTTGTTCATGATGAGTGCACAATAAATATCCACTCAGTGATGCAAAAGGACAGGTGGCTAGCACGTCCGACAGAGGCAGGCAGGCTGGGAGGGCCGGAGGGGGACAGCCTTTGAAAGAGGCGATGAGCCGAGGCTGGCTTAAGGGTTAAGGAGACTGGGGAAAGGAAGTGGAAAGAGGCTCTGACAATGGCAGTCCTCTTGCACAGCAATTTGGCAGTGACACAAGTCAGAGCTATTATTTGAAAGGGTAAAGGGAGACAGATTTACACAGAGTGAGGAATCCCGCGCTGCAGCAGCAAGAGCTCTCAGAGCCGGGGCTCCGATCACCTGCTGTCTCTTAGTAGTGACGCTCAGATGTGGAAAAGAAGGTTTTATGAACTTGGAAGCACACTGAACATGAAGACAAGATGGCTTTACAGAGATGCCAGATGACTGGTCTCATTGAGAAAAAATATTCGGCAGAGGGCACAAGGCGTGCAAGGGTATTCTATAGAATCCCGGTTGCACATTGTATTTGAAAGACAATTAAAGTAAAAACTTGGATTTTACCTTTAAATTACATGAGAAGCACACCGTGGCCAGCTACGCACGGAACTTCTCCTTTCCAAAACAAATCGGCTCTCCCTGAGCCCCACATACCTGGAAGTGTGGGCTGGAGACACACTTGGCCAACTGCCGGAAGAGGGGCTCCATGATCTTCACAAATTCTGATGGCTCAATTACATCTAATATCTCTTCTAATTCGTTTAAGAACATTACTTCTTTTGGACTGTGAGTCTTTGGCCAGTATTTGAGAAGTGCCATCACCACCTACAAAAGAAATGACACATGGAGTGCCTGACGCCCACGAGGCCCCCACACCTGCAAGGCAAGCCGTCTGTGTTTCCACTGAGGTGGCCCCACTGCCAAGCAACCTGGGAAGATGGTGCCACCTTCCTTAAAGAAGGAACAGGGACTCAGTAATTGTACATGATTGTCTATAGGTAGAGAAATAGGTCTGTCTGGTTATCTAACCATCTGATCAATCAATGTATTTAGAGATGGGTTACACTATGTTGTCCAGGCTGGGCTTGAATTCCTGGGTTCAAGGGATCCTCCTGCTTCAGAATCTGAGCAGCTGGGACAACAAGCATGCACCACCTGCCTGGCTTAACTTTACATGCTTCGGAAATTACACAATTTTAATTTATATAACCCCTCTCTCTGATCAAACACCATTTCAGTAAGAGTCCTTTCCTTTTGTAAAAAAAAGAAAAAACAATAAGCAGTTAGGATAATTGAAAGAATAAGATCAATGGAGAAAACACAGAGCGTATCAATTCATTTGCATATTTTAGTGTGGAAGTGGCCGGTACTGAAACTGCCTGCCACATATACACAATCCATTTCTTTCTCAAGTTTACCAACCATCCATATGTATTTATACACAAACATAGATGCTTTTGTATGCATAGACTGTTTTCAACTGTTAAAATATATCAAAGAGTGGTGTGAACTGAGCTGACCTTGTTAACCCCCACCTGCAGGTGCTGTGCTGCGACCCCAGGCAGGGCATGCTGTGTTGTCTGTGCGCACACCTGTGGGCGTGAACTGCAACTGCCTGAGCGGTGCCGGGCCTGCAGTGAGCGGTGCCGGGCCTGCAGTGAGCGGTGCCGGGCCTGCAGTGAGCCGTGCCGGGCCTGCAGTGAGCCGTGCCGGGCCTGCAGTGAGCAGGCGGCAGTGGTAGCTTTAGCCAGGACGGCCACCACCCAGGGGGTCTGTGCTACCAGCTCTGCCAGGCACAGCCCGATTTTCCCTGCTTGTGGATAGTGGATGGTTTATGCTCCTTGGCCAAGTCAGACAGCTAGAAAGGATTTCCACTGGGCAACCTTTCTTTCTTTATATGTTCCTGTAGTTTCCAAATGTCCTACCACAATCACACCAGTACAGAATACTCCATCTGACTCAATGCAGATTGAATAATATTTTTTAGAGTTTAGCCATCTTAGCTCTAAAAAAGTACTACAATCCAAAACAGGTATTTACATATAAAGTGCATATGTATCTGCTTGCACACATAGATTGCACAAGTGTAATCCGTTTCGTTAAAGTGGCTGTTTGGCCCAGTCACGGAAACATGGTGAAGCTTCCACCCCAGCTCCTGTGCTGCAGAATTGCAGCAAATGCTGGCCCTTGGGACCGCCTGATCGTTTTCACTCACTAGTTATTTCTGGCTCAGTAGATCACACGAACTCATGCTCAGCAGGCCAGCCTTTTAATCATTACAGTGATTTTTTAAAAAGGTGGAGATTTAGGCCGGGCGCGGTGGCTCACGCCTGTAATCCCAGCACTTTGGGAGGCCGAGGCGGGTGGATCACGAGGTCAACAGATCGAGACCATCCTGGTCAACATGGTGAAACCCCGTCTCTACTAAAAAAAAACTACAAAAAAAATTAGCTGGGCATGGTGGCGCGTGCCAGTAATCCCAGCTACTCAGGAGGCTGAGGCAGGAGAATTGCCTGAAACCAGGAGGCGGAGGTTGTGGTGAGCCGAGATTGCACCATTGCACTCCAGCCTAGGTAACAAGAGCGAAACTCCGTCGCAAAAAAAAAAAAAAAAAAAAAAAAGGGGAGATTTAACTTCCATTTAGAAAAATTTTGTTTTGACGCTTTGGCATTTGGGCTCCCAGATAATCTTTTATGATATTACACTTTATAAAACTCCAAAATCTACTAAAAAAAGGAAGTAAGGCTGGGTGTGGTGGCTCACACATGCAATCTCAGCACTTTGGGAGGTTGAGGTGGGAGGACTGCTTGAGCCCAAGAGTTTGAGACCAGCTTGGGCACCCTGGTGAGGCCCCGTCTCTATAAAAAATCTAAAAATTAGCCTGGTGTGGTGATGTGCACCTGTGGTCCCAGCTACTCGAGAGACTAAGGTGGGAAAACTGCTTGAGCCCAGGAAGTTGAGGCTGTAGTAAGCCATGACTGCACCACTAGACGCCAAGATTCAAACAAACAAACAAAACCCCCCAAAAAGCCAAATAAAAAGGAAGTGCTGAGAGTTTTGAAGTCTGACATAAAAATCTACCACACAAGTGTCTTAAAAAGGAATTATTTCTAAACATGCATCATTTAATGATCCTCCTAGCTCAAAACTATTTAATAAGTACTTAACTGCATTCTTACTACACTCTATTGGAATCACTATTAAGGACACAGCAGATGCAAATCACTTCCTATGTCTATTTCTCTTCATTTGTCAAATGGAATTTTATTAGAAGTATGTTAATTTTTGAACTAGACAAAAAAATCAATTTAGCTATTCCATTCCTCTGGAAAAGGTATCATTTCTGGGATCGGATTCACACACGGGCCTTCCTTTCCACATTGTCTAGAACGAGCTGTGACCAGCAGCAGCTATTTCGCCGCTTCCGTGTGGCTGTGTTTTGCGGAGGAGGGTGTCTGCTTGGGGAATGCTAATCCGAGGCAACAATGGCTGTGTGCTGTGGGGTGCTGGGTGCTGCACAAGGCCCGCAGCTTTCCTCTGGAAGCCCAAGGACTGCCCGCTCCTTGGAGAGGGCAGGCGAGCAAGTGGCCCCAGCCTTGAGTTTTGGGGAGCCCCCATCCTGTCCTGGCAGACCAAGGAGAAAGAAGAGTTGCTACCATGCCAGGAAGTAAAACGGGATGAGCCTAAAGAGGCAGGTGGGTGAACACGGACAGTTTTACTGCTGTGAAATCTCTGATGAGGTTCTGTTCTTACAACAAAGTGTTTCACGTGCCCAGAAAGCCTGTGAGCACTGTACACAATCAGCAAACGAAGAATACCACTTACAGGTGGCCAGCAGGGCAGCACGTCCTTCAGGGCTCAGACTTTGATGTGGGTCTTAAACATTCCTGAGCCTGGACATTGATGGCTTTGGGGTCCCTTTGGTGCAGGCCTGTGAGATGGACGTGGACACCAGGTGTCCTTAGTGTTGCCGCGCAGATACACACCTGCACAAAGGCCTATACTTTGATCTTATCATCAACAAGCTTTCAATGCTGAAGCAAGGCAAAATGGACTTTGTGTTTTCATAAAATAGGCATTTCAAAAGAGGAAATTTACCGCAATGAGGGTCTGAATGTTTTTAACGTGTAGGAAATTAAATCTGCTTTCTAAAGCCAGGACAGTACCATTACATTATCTGTACAGCAGAAAACTAAGCTAAGTATTCTGGGTGGGAACATCGGGGCCTGCGTTGGCAGGGTTTGCCCCTTCTTTGCACTGGTGCCAAGTCAGAGACCTGCATGTAACATTCATGCTGGAAGGACCCCACTGAACCACACCCACCCAGTCTTTTGCCCTCTTTTAGACAACTGAAATTAATAGCTCTCACTCTTGCAGTTATATTCACTTTATTTACTATATTAGTGGGAATTAAAGACACTTACAAACGTTCTCTGCTTTTATGTTACTTAGAGATAGAAGAGAGAATAAGGTGGGGCTCATTCGCTGAGCCCTCAGTGGAGGAGGATTAGGGTTCAGACTGATAGAGATGCTAGGGGCTTAGGTGGGGGCAGCCTTTCTCTGTGGTAAATGCAATGTTGCTTTTGGTGAATTCTTCGGGATTTTTTGTATGAGAAATTACAAAAGAAAGAAAAGTTACAAAAGAAAAGCACAAAGAAAAATTACAAAAGAAAACTCTGCATACTTTTTTTTTTGAGACGGAGTTTTGCTCTGTTGCCCAGGCTGGAGTGCAATGGCGCGACCTTGGCTCACTGCAACTTCCGCCTCCCAGGTTTAAGCAATTCTCCTGCCTCAGCCTCCCGAGTAGCTGGGATTATAGGCATGTGCCAACATGCCTGGCTAATTTTATATTTTTAGTAGAGATGGGGCTTCTCCATGTTGATGAGGCTGGCCTTGAACTCCTGACCTCAGACGATCTGCCTGCCTTGGCCTCCCAAAGTGCTGGGACTGCAGGCGTAAGTCACTGCGCCTGGCCCTGCACACTTTAAAAAAAAAATCTCTCCTTCTGTATCTTTCTTTACCTTCTATTTTTACTTACTTATTTGAGACAGGGTCTTTCTCTGCCACTCAGGACGGAGTGCAGTTGGTACGTTTACAGCTCACTCTAGCCTTGACCTCCTGGGCTCAAGCAATCTTTCCACTTCAGCTTCTTGAGTAGCTGGGAACACAGGTACACGTCACCATGCCCAGCTAATTAAAAAAAAATTTTTTTTTCCTTAGGAGAGAGGAGGTCTCACTATGTTGCTCAGGCTGGTCGAAAACTCCTGGCCTCAAGGGATCCTCCTGCCTTGGCCTCCCAAAGTGCTGGGATTAGGAGTATGTGCCACCTTGCTCAGTTCTTTTTTATTTTTGAATAGAAAAAGGTGGGAGAGGAGAGGAGAGATAATTTTTTTTTTTTTTTTTTTTTTACAAATTACTTTCTCAAGTAAAATCTCTGTGATAGTTAAAACTGAGTGTCAACTTGATTGGATTAAAGGATGCAAAGTATTGATCCTGGGTGTGTCTGTGAGGGTGTCCCCAAAGGAGATTCACATTTGAGTCAGTGGCTAGGAAAGGCAGACCCACCCTTGATCTGGGTAGGCACCATCCAATCAGCTGCCAGCAAGGCCAGAATAAAAGCACGCAGAAGAACACGGAAGGACTAGATGGGCTTAGCCTCCCAGCCTCCATCTTTCTCCCGTGCTGGATGCTTCCTGCCCTCGAACATTGGACTCCAAATTCCTCAGCTTTAGGACTCGGGCTGGCTTCCTTGCTCCTCAGACTGCAAACGGCCTATTGTGGGATCTTGTAATCATGTGAGTTAATACTCCTTAATAAACTCTCCTTTACATACCTATCCTATTAGTTCTGTCCCTCTAGAAAACCCTAATACAACCTCTTCGCCGGGTGCAGTGGCTTACACCTGTAATCACAGCACTTTGGGAGGTCGAGGTATCACCTGGGGTCAGAAGTTTGAGACCAGCCTGACCAGCATGGCAAAACCATGTCTCTACTAAAAATACAAAAATTAGCCAGGTGTGGTGCTGTGAGCCTATAGTCCTAGCTACTTGGGAGGTTAAGGCAGGAAAATTGCTTGAACCCGGGGGGTGGAGGTTGCAGTGAGCCACGATCATGCCACTGCACTCTAGCCTGGGTGACAGAGTGAGATCCTGTCTCAAAAAAACCCCAAAAACAACAACAAAAACCAACCTCTCACTCTTGAGTTTGGAGAAGACCTTAAATACAGGCAGAGGAGTTAAGGCGTGTAACCACTATAAAAAATACAGTAAAATAAAATCCCTAATGAGTTTTATTAACACCATCTCATTTTTCTTTTTCCTACCTAGACATGTCTTCAGTCAGTTAAGGAGAATAAAAATAACACCTCCTCACCCTAAACCTTGACTGTGCTTGATGCTGAAGTGTGATGAGATTTGGTACATTTCCTTGGGAGCTCCCCAAAATCTCAGGCAGAGGCTTCTGGGGGCTGGAGGGGGAGCGTGCAGGGACGTGTCGCTCCACGAGGGCCCGGCAGGGCAGGGTGGGCCCAGCTCACAGCTCTGTAGCCCCTGCTGCCTCTGCAGCTGCAGTACAAGAGCCCTTCTTGAATTTTGTGGGTGAAACGGAGGGAAACTACACATAGAATTTAAAACCTTCAAGAAAGCAGAGACCAGAGCCAGCTTAACTCAGAAATTCAATGTTAAGAATTTCTCATGTAATTCACTATAAAAATTACAATGTCACAAGAGAACTGTGAAAGACAGAAAGGGCCCAGGGGTGACAAGACCTAGTCTTAACTGTGACTTTTAAAAGAGCATTCAAATATTTGAATTGGCTCCTAACATTCCTTGACACTCAAATAATTAAAAAAAAAAACACCCAATTTAAAAAATGGGCAAAGGATTTAAATGGACATATCTGCAAAGAAAATATACAAACATATATATATATGTGTGTGTGTGTGTGTGTGACAGGGTTTTACTCTCTTGCCCAGGCACACACCATCATGCCTAGCTAATTTTTGTATTTTTTTGTAGAGATGGGGTTTCACCATGTTGCCCAGGCTGCTCTCCAACTTTTGGGCTCAAGCCATTCTCCCATCTCAGCCTCCCAAGTGTTGGGATTACAGGTGTGAGCCACCACACCTGGCCAAGAAGATATACAAATTTTGGTCAGTAAGCACTGAAAAGATGCTTAACATTCTTAGTCATTATTGAACTGCAAATCAAAACCACACGAGATACTGCATCCAACCACTAGGATGGCTATAATGAAAACCGCAGGTCAGGCATGGTGGCTCACACCTGTAATCCTAGTGTGAGGGAGGCTGAGGCAGGTAGATCACCTGAGGTCAGGAGTTTGAGACCAGCCTGGCAAACAGGGTGACAAGACCTAGTCTTAACTGTGACTTTTAAAAGAGCATTCAAATATTTGAATTGGCTCCTAGCATTCCTTGACACTCAAATAATTAAAAAAAAAAAAAAAAACCCAATTTAAAAAATGGGCATGTCTGCAAAGAAAATATACAAACATATATATTCATCTTAAATTGCAATACTAATAAACAGGTTGATTTCATTCAGGGGTTATAGTTTTCAAAGTAACTTTAATTGTAGGTTCCTTTATTGCAGTGATGATTTTATGTAATGAGATTGCCGCCTCATCCCTCATTGCACTTTACTCTTTTAAATGTAAAGCACTTGGGCGGTCGCAGCCACTAAATTTTAGTGTGTGATTCCGCCTCTACTAAAAATACAAAAATTAGCCAGCAGTGGTGGCGGGCACCTGTAACTCCAGCTACTCAGGAGGCTGAGGTAGGAGAATCGCTTGAACCCAGGAGGCGGAGGCTGTAGTGATGTCACTGCACTCCAGCCTGGGCAACAGAGTGAGACTTCATCTCAAAAAATTAAAAATAAGAAGTAAACAACAGCAGCAGGCCGGGCGCGGTGGCTCAAGCCTGTAATCCCAGCACTTTGGGAGGCCGAGGCGGGTGGATCATGAGGTCAAGAGATTGAGACCATCCTGGCCAACATGGTGAAACCCCGTCTCTACTAAAAATACAAAAAATTAGCTGGGCATGGTGGCGCGTGCCTGTAATCCCAGCTACTCAGGAGGCTGAGGCAGGAGAATTGCCTGAACCCGGGAGGCGGAGGTTGCGGTGAGCCGAGATCGCGCCACTGCACTCCAGCCTGGGTAACAAGAGTGAAACTCCGTCTCAAAAAAAAAACAAAAAAACAAAAAACAGCAGCAGCAGGAGCAGAAGCAGTGGTGAGGATGCAGGAAACGGGAGCCTTTGTGCACTGCTGCGGGGAACGTAAACAGGGCAGTCGCTGTGGAACACAGCATGCTGGTTCGTCCAACAGCTAAACATGCAATTACCATGTGATTCAGCAATCCCACTTCTGGATATATATCCAAAGGAATTGAAAACAGGATCTATAACAAATATTTGTACGCCAGTACGGTATATAAAGAGCCACATTATTCGCAATAGCTAAAAAGTGGGAACAACCCAAGTGTACACTGAAAACACAACGGGTAAACACAATGTGCTCTATCCGTACAGTAGAGCAGCGCCCAGCCGTGATGAGGAATGAAGCTCTGATACACAGCACGAGGAGGAACCCTGGAAGACATGACGCTGCGTGAAATGAGCCCACTGCAAAAGGACAAGCGTTTTATGATCACCTAGAGTGGTCAAATTCAAAGATAAAGCCGATTACAGGTTAGGAAGGCCTGGAGGTTAGCAGGGGCCACAGCGAGGGGGAATTGGGAGTTACCGTTTAATGGGTAGAATTTCTGTTTGGGATGACAACAAAGCTTTGGAAATGGTGTGATGGTTGCACAACATTATGAATGTAATTAATGCTGGCGAACTGTACATTAACACGGTTAAAATCACAAATTTTATATGTATTTTAGCACCATTTAAAAAAATTCAAAATGTAACATACCAAAAATCTTAGAAGTATACTCTTTAAACGGGTGAATTGTATGGTATGTGAATTGTATCTCAATACAGTTGTTTCAAACAATCTACTTAAATGCTTACACTGGTACCTGACATGTCTGCTTTGTTAACGCTGGCTCTGATAGCCTTTTTATTTTTTATTTTTATTTATTTACTTTTTTGAAATGGAGATTCACTCTTGTTGCCCAGGTTGTAGTGCACAGGTGCACTTGGCTCACCGCAGCCTCTGCCTGACAGGTTCAAGTGATTCTCCTGCCTCAGTCACCCGAGTAGCTGGGATTATAGGCATTCACCACCACGTCCAGCTAATTTTGTATTTTTAGTAGAGACGGGGTTTCTCCGTGTTGGTCAGGCTGCTCTTGAACTCCTGATCTCAGGTGATCCATCTGCCTTGGCCTCCCAAAGTGCTGGGATTATAGGCATGAGCCACTGCGCCCAGCCCTGGTAGCCTTTTTATTTTTAATAAACATAAAATGTTAAGAAAATTACAAATCCTTTCACATAATTATGGAGGCTGAAAAAAAACTACAAATCCACGCACTGAACAGCAGTAATCTAATGCTGACTTGTGATTCAATGATCATAAAACAGTCACAGTGTAACCTGGAAAGTATTTTCAAGATGGTAAAACCTCTTCCTTACAAGAAGAATTTCAAACCCTAACTATAATTCCTCTGATCATAATCAGTTCAATATGTTGTCAAACCAAGCAGATGTGAAACTACGGAATCACACACTAAAATGTAGTGGCTGCGACCGCCCAAGCGCTTTACATTTAAAAGAGTAAAGTGCAATGAGGGATGAGGCGGCAATCTCATTACATAAAATCATCACTGCAATAAAGGAACCTACAATTAAAGTTACTTTACTTTGAAAACCTATAACCCCTGAATGAAATCAACCTGTTTATTAGTATTGCAATTTAAGATGAAAAAGTCTGAATGGCAATTTGGTGAAGCAGATGTTGTAATATTTACATTTAGTGAAATACACACATCTTACAATACGAGCTAGCAACGGTACTCACTGGTTCTGTGAGGGTGCTGTCCTTCTCTAAAAACTGCACTACACAGTACGCCAGCTAAACAGTAAAAGGAGAAAGAGCATTAACATTTCAACATAGAAGCTTCATTCAGCACCTTCCTACGGCAAGACAAGGACCCAAAGTACAGACAAAGCCGTTGTGTAATTCTGATGTTGCCCCCAGGGTGTGCCACCCCAACTGCCCGGCAGGCCCCATGGGAGGCTCTGAGTGGGACTTTCAGGGAGGGACCCCAGGAGCAATGACCAACAGATAAATCTTTCCCCATTAATTGGGGATAGATCAGAAAGGCGAAACATAAAAATAAGAAAAATAAATCAGAAAACAGTCTTTCTAGTGCAACTATCACTAAGTCAATCCAGTATGATGGGGATTTTGTCGTGGTCCTTGAGATTACAATCCACAAGTAATCTAACAGCAGGGAAAACAAATTACAATCTGGTTCCATCTTAAATCTCCCAACTATTAAGTTCTTTTGTGCAACAATTAATATGATAATCTGACTGGATGCAAAGATATTACCAGTTAAGAGCAGTCAGAGAAAATAAATATTTCCTAGGAAGAATCAATTAAAGAATGTACTTTTTGGCTGGGCACGGTGGCTCACACCTGTAATCCCAGCATGCTGGGAGGCCGAGGCGGGAGGATCACAAGGTCAGGAGTTCAAGACCAGACTGCCCAACATGGTGAAACTCCATCTCTACTAAAAAATACAAAAATTAGCTGAACATGGTGGCTCATGCCTATAATCCCAGCTACTAGGGAGGCCGAGGTAGGGGAATTGCTTGAACTGGGACCCAGAGGAGCAGTGAGCTGAGATGGTACCACTGCACGCCAGCCTGAGCTACAGAGCGAGACTCCATCTCAAAAAAAAAAAAAAAGAAGAATGTAATTTTTGTCACTTGTCACTTAGCCCCTACCACAAGCCCTGAAACTGGGGTGCGGCAGAAAGGAGCCTTGTGCGCTCCTAGGCCTGTGCTGGGGTGTGACTGCTCGGTGCCTGGCCCAGTGACAGTTGAAAGTGAACAAAGACACTGACTGCAGCCAAAGGGTGAAAGAAAGCCAAGTCCAGGCAAATGCAGCCCATTAGCCACTTACTGCCAATTTTTCAGCACAGCCGTAGTTACACTGCTGTAGTCTTAAACATTCACAGTTTTAGTTTATTTATTTATTTTTGAGCTGGAGCTTCGCTTTTTACCCATGGTGGAGTGCAATGTCACGATCTCGACTCACTGCAACCTCCACCTCCCAGGTTCAATCGATTCAGCCTCCTGAGTAGCTGGGATCACAGGCATGTGCCACCACGCCCGGCTAGTTTGTATTTTTAGTAGAGGCGGGGTTTCTCCATATTGGTCAGGCTGGTCTAGAACTCCCAACCTCAGGTGATCTATCTGCCTCGACCTCCCGAAGTGCTGGGATTAGAGGCAGCTTTTATTTTCTTAAAAAACACTCTTATAGGCCATTCATTGGACACGGACCTAAATAGGCTTTTCTCTTTAAGGTACTAAATTTTCGATTATACTACAGAAAACTCCTCTCAGAAGTCTTCCTTGACTCCTTCCAGAGAATTACTTCTTTCTCTATGCTTAAAACTAATTTAAAAGTTCTGTATTACAGAGATTTTTCTGAATTTCTTAAAATGAATTTTTCTTTACCCCTTTATTCTTTCAATTATCACCAGAAGGTTGTCACCAATGTCAGTAGTGTCATATGAAGAAGAAAGCACTCTTGGTTAAGGCTGGATTCACTACCTTGTGTTCAGTCCTGTTCAAATGCCAACAGCTGTTTTCTTGGAGCCTCCCCTGCCCCTTACCTGGGGATGGTAGACACTCAGAGATTTCACTTTGTGCAAAGGTAGTAACACCTTCAATAAGAAAATCTTGTGCTCTTCTTTCAGTGGTAAGGCAAATCCATTAATTATACTGTAAAAAGAACATTTATTCAGTTTGAACATTTACACATTCCAGATTTTAAACAGGTATCTTGCTGTTTTTCTTTCAATTTTTGTTTTCAGCATCAAAACCCAGCAGGCAAAATATACAGAGCCAAGCATGTTATCATGCACTTGTGCACCAGCTAACTTGGGAGGCTGAGGCCAGAGGAACATCTAAGCCAGGAGTTGGAGGCTGTAGTGTGTCATAATCGCACCTGTGAATAGCCATGTTCTCTAGCCTGGGCAGTATAGTGAGATCCTATCTAGGGGTCTGTGGAATACGTCACAGAGCGCTCCAGTCCCTGCAATAGCCTAGGAGGGAAATATGATGATTCCTCCTATATATATATACATACGTATGTGTGTGTGTATGTGTGTGTATCAGAAAAAAGAGGATACCAGTAAAAGTTTAAAAATATTAAATGCCTTTGAGGAAGCATGGTTATTTTTATCTCTGTAACTACATGATAATTAAAAAATTCTGGGTTTACAGGTGTTACCCAGAACAGCAGAAAGCTGGCTCAACAGCAGGAGCTCCTGGTGGCAAAATCTTCCTTCCTAAACAGGCTAGGAAGATGGGACAGTTCACGTGGGACCCCCACACCCAGCACCTTGCCTCAGCCTTATCCATCTTCAGGAATTCGTGCTGCCTAGAGTAATTCAGGGTCATTAGTTTAATATCGGTAACAGAGACCCGGTGGGTGCTGAATGAGTGTTGGTTTAAAATGAGTTAGGGCTGGGAGTGGTGGCTCACACCTGTCATCCCAGCACTTTGGGAGGCTGAGGTGGGTGGATCAACTGAGGTTAGGAGTTCAAGACCAGCCTGGCCAACACGGTGAAACCCGGTTTCTACTAAAAATATAAAAATTAGCTGGGCGTGGTAGCGTACGCCTGCAGTCCCAGCTATTTGGGAGGCTGAGGTGAGAGAATCGCTTGAACCCGGGAGGAGGGGGTTGCAGTAAGCTGAGATCATGCCACTGCACTCCAGCCTGGGCAATGGAGGAGACTCCATCTCAATTAAAAAAAAAAAAAAATCAGTGGCCGGGCGTGGTGGCTCACGCCTGCAATCCAAGCACTTTGGCGGCCAAGGCAGGTGGATCACCTGTGGTTGGGAGTTCAAGATCAGCCTGACCAACATGGTGAAACCCCGTCTTAAAAAAAAAAAAAAAAAAAAAATCAAGTACATCTTAAGCATGAATGTG